TATATATATATATAATATGTATATATATATATGTATATAATGTGTATATATATATATATATTATATGTATATATATATATGTATATATATATATATGTATATATATATGTATATATATATGTATATATATGTATATATATATGTATGCGTGTATATGTGTATGTTTATGTATGCACTTCTAAACCTGGTTCCAAGTGGTTTGTGTATGCATTGTGAGTATGTTTTTTTGCATGTGAAGATATATGCATTTGCATGTGATTGTGAGTATGTGGGTATATGTGTGCGTATGTTTCTCTATGCATATGTATGCATTATCATGAATATATATATATAGTTATTTATCTGTGTTTGTGTTTATGTACGTATGTGTAAGTAAATATCTGAATACGTACGTTTAGTTCTGTATACCTACGTATGCCCGTATTTAAGTATATACACTGCCTATGTGAACATAAATACGTGTATGTTGTATACCTACCAGTTGGCACAATCTGTTTTGTATTTCTGCATGCGTATGTGTACATGCATGTGTATACACGTCTGCATACATATGTACACGCACCTATGCAACCCGGAAACTCAAACCCACCAATTACAACAAACGACCAAGAAACAAACTTCCTAGCAATTTCTTACCCATTTTCCAGGGCCGATCATATTCCATGCCAAAATAGCTCTGAAATTTCATAAAATTGCAAAAACCCCATTCAAGTGAAATGTGTGTTTCATGTTATTAGCCAAGCGCTGTTTTCTTCTGGCACATGCATTGTCGACGGCACATGTTCCTGCCCAAACCAAGTCCTTTCTTTCAGCACAACAAAACAAAAACGACCCCGGAATTGATCCAAAAGCACTCAAAATGTAGACTGTAAAACCATAGCGTGCGATGACACCCCTGGAGTACGATAATTTTCTGGTATGCGCAAAAGATTCAGTATGTGTGGCCCCTTGGCACCTTCCCAATCAACCCTACACCATTAAAAATTGTGTTCACGTACCAGAAAAGTTTCACACATGAAGTAGTGCATAGGTAGTATGTGGGTGTGTGTTCTATGTAGATAGATAGCGACCACGCCAGACCATACTATTGGGAGCGGGGGGAACAAAGAACACGGAACCAGTAACCAGTATATATATGTATATATATATATATATAACGCGCAACACCTGGGCTTTGCCCCAGCGTTGCAGCGTAGAGGGTTCCCATGCCCAATCAAATCTTGTTGCAACGTTACATTCAATTGGGAATATCAACAAAGGTATTAGGGAATATTAAAATCCAACCCCCTATAAAGGATCAACAAAGGTATTAGGGAATATTAAAATCCCACCCCCGTTAAACTTTACATTCAATTGGGAAGATCAACACAGGTACTTGGGAATATCAAAATCCCACCCCCGTTAAACTTTACATTCAATTGGGAAGATCAACAAAGGTATTAGGGAATATTAAAATCCCACCCCCGTTAAACTTTACATTCAAGTGGGAAGATCAACAAAGGTACTAGGGAATATCAAAACCCCAGCCCCGTTAAACTTTACATTCAATTGGGAAGGTCAACAAAGGTATGAGGGAATATGAAAATCCCACCCCCGTTAAACTTTACATTCAATTGGGAAGATCAACAAAGGTACTAGGGAATATTAAATTGATGATGATGATGATGGTGATGATGATAATAATGATGATGATGCGTTGCCCGTCGTCGTTGCGGTTCAGGGCAAAGCCCAGGCATTTGCCGTATACATAAATATATATACATATATACATATATATACATATATATATACATATGCGATATATATATATATACATATGCGATATATATATATATACATATGCGATATATATATATATACATATGCGATATATATATATATGCGATATATATATATATATATGGCATGTGTATATATATATATGTGGCATGTATACATATATATATATGTACATACATGTACTCAGATATCATAGATTCGTGTTCGAAAGCTCTCAATGTGCAAATGGCCTCAGCGCCTCGGGCTCAACTTGCACGACGTGGCGGAGTCCTGCATCCATTGCATCCAACAGCTGGTTCGGGAAATCCCAGCGTTCAGCAACTCAGTGTGGCTCAAAATATATGGCTCAAAAAAAATATATATATATATATATTTATAGATATATATGTGGTAAACATGTTTGCCATAGTTTGGAATATAGTTTATATACACAAATATACACAAAATTGTACCAAACTATGGCAATATTGTAGCAAACTATGGCTTTGAGCTGGCATTGGATGGCATGTTTTATAGCAAATTACCAAACTCAAAACAGTGACAAATGTCTGGCATTTCTGGATCTGGAGCTACCTTTTTTGAGCCACAGCAAGCCACAGGTCTTTGACCTTATCAACTAGGCCGAGGCCATAATCAGGTCGCTACGTCCCTTTCCTTATCCCAATAAGTTTGATCAAACCTTTGATCTCCACCATATTCATGTCGATCTATAGTGACTTGTATGCGGGTATACATTAATTCGTATTTACATATACATATACAGATACACATACTACGTATAGAACATATACTACATATACTACATATACTACATATACTACCTAATACTACATATGATACTTATGCTACAGATGTTACATGTCTTTCATTTACTGCATATAGTACATATGCTGCATATTTTACATTTGATACATATGCTACATATTCTACACATACTACATATACTACCTTTACTGCCCACACTACATATACTGCATATACTCCAAATGGCATATACTACTGATACTACATATACTACATGTACTACATGTACTACATGTAGTAATGCATATACTACATATGCTATATATACTACATGTACTACATATACTGCATATACTACCTGTACTACCTGCACTGCATATGGCAAAAACTACATCTACTACATATACTACGCGTACTACATGTACTACATATACTACAAATGCTACATGTACTACACATACAAAAATTACTAAATTTACTACATGTACTACATGTACTGCATATACCACATATGCTACATATACTACATGTACTACATGTACTGCATATACTACATATGCTACATATACTACATGTACTACATGTACTGCATATACTACATGTACTACATGTAATACATATACTACATATGCTCGATATGCTACATGAGCAACATATACTACCTAAAATACATATACTACATATACTACACACACAACATGTACTACATATGCTCCATATATGCTCCATATGCTTTATATGCTACATGTGCTACATGTGCTACATATATTGTATATACTGCCTATACTACATGTATGCATATGGCATATACTACAGATGCTACATATACTACATGTACTACATGTACTGCATATACTCTATATGCTACATATGCAACATATCTTACATATACTACATACTACATTTACTACATATACTACATATACTACATTTACTACATCTACTACATATACTGCATTTACTTCATTTACAACATATACTATGCATTACATGTACTGCATAAACAACATATACTGCATATGCTACATATGCTACATATCTGACATATACTACATTCTACATATACTACTTATACTGCATATACTTTAAATATTACATATACTGCATGTACTACATGTACTGCATATACTACATATACTGCATATGGCATATACTACATATACTATATAAACTACATGGCAAGCGGCTCCCAGAAAGCCGAATGTTTTTCCAACCGTGGCGACTTCAGTTTGCGTGTGTTTTCTCAAGGATTTGTGTCTGGGTCCTTTTTTTTGACTCTGTTAAATCCTGCGACAAACTACTTCTTTTTCAATTTCTTTGTGTCAGACTTTCAAGTCTTTGTTTCACATGCGTTTCAGGACTTGAAGAAGTGAAGAGCGTAGCATCATTTCGCACACCCCGTTCACGTAGAAGCTACGCCGAAGTTCGCAATTGGATGAAAACACCACCCTGGGCAGTGAGAGCAGTGAAAACTCGCGAACAATGACGATGTAACCATCATGAAAGGTTTTTTCGCAATGTAATTATCTATCGGGGGTTATTAGTTTCAGCCGTATTTCTTATGCAGCAACCAATGATCAACCGTTCCTCGACTAGGCAGGATTTTGAGCAACAGAAATACTCTTGTTTTGAGTCCCAAGGATATTCCATTGACCTTTGCCATTATCCCCCAGCTTCTGTATTCGTTGCCAGATTTCTTGATGGCATCTCCGTGTTTGGGCTATCTCTGTCCATGCCCCGCATATATGGTAAACTCATAGCGATTTCCCTAAAATATATAGATATATACATATACATATGCAGTATATGTATGTTTGATTATGTGTGTGTATGAGATAAAACAACACAAGCATACTATGTATGTTGCACTATGTACATACATGTGTATATATACATATATATGTGTTGTATATATAGTAAACAACGAAAGGCGCACCTTTTACACCAATTACTTGAGCCAAAAATTGGCATTATTCTATGACCGGTGTCAACAGGAAAGCTATACACTTTACAATGTAGGGGTTTACCCCAAAACGTTCGAAGTCCCCCCCCCGGACCGGTTGGTGTGTGGATAATTGACCCGCGCTGGCGCAGATGCAAAAAAGCGCATCAGGGACGGAAACCCCCCCAGCCAGGGTTTCATACCCGGCGTAGAATTTGCCCTTAACCAACCAGTTCGGGAAGAAAACGTTTTGCAAAGCTGTACGCAAAAACATGCAGTAATTTAGCTAAGATTGCAACCCTTCGGGTTTACCTGACCTTCTCCCACACTCTTGCTTTCACTTTTCCCGCGCAGTGGCGCCGGTGAGGCCATTTGGCCTATAGTCTCAAGCAATGATTGCACCACGCAGCACAGCGCTGAAGCAGATGAAGTCAATGCCAGCCGCTGCCAGTGATCAGAGCAAGAGGAAATTCCTTAGATCGGGTCACCGCGCGAAGGCGCAGGTTAGCCCAAGCCTCTGGGTATTAAGGTTAAGTCAAAAGGTGAGAGAAGCCGGTCCGATTCTTAGCTTTCGGAGTGCCTCGGTGAATTTCACACGGGCCAAAACCTTAGTAAACAAGTCTGCAAGCTGTTCTTCAGAAACAGTATACCTCAGTTCGAGATTCAGGTCCTTAATTGTTTCGGAAATCGCGGCGATTGACAACTTGTGCGTTCGATTCATGGATTTTAATCTAGCGCTGTAACCTGCATTCAAAATTTGAATGCATGCCTGGTTGTCTTCGTGGAGAACCAAAGGAATATCCCTTTCAAAGATCAGTTGAAGAACTGTTTGAACTGGGAGCGCGTCACCATATAATCCATCATTCAAAGCAACCAATTCAGATTCTGTGGTTGATTTGGAAACGCATTGCTGTCGACGGGATGACCAAGATATTGGGAAGAGTGTTCCGTTCGGGCATTCAATGCAAAGAAATATCCCAGTGTGAGATTTCATTGTGCATACATCACCCCCCAAATCTGCATCCGTGTAAAGATGCAAAGAGATATCCGATGGGTTGCCGTTGACAAAACAGTGAACCCCGTAGTCAGCAGTGGCATTCATGTAACTTACCAACCTGTGAAGCATCTTGTCGTGGTTTACCGACCAGCGACTGGTTCCTGAAGCCAGTTTTGTCACACCGTGTGACAGGTCTGGCCTGCTTAGTCGGGCAAGCCACAATATCTTCATTAAAATTGAAGCTGACTTTTCACCGAGAAACCCTTGTGACTCCCAATCGTTCACATTCAGCTCAGAGTCACTGAGATAGGGTGTTGAAACAGATTTTAATGCAACAGCTCCAACATGTTGAAGGTACAAATCAACCGCTGATCTACAGTACTTTTCCATGGACATGAACATGGTCTTACCATTCTCAATACTACGGATGTCATGGTCTCGTCCTGAATACCTCCCTGGAACTTCAACCCCATCGATCTCGATTTTCTTCTTCAAAGAAACCCAAAACAATTCAACTTCCTTTGCCCCTCCTGCGCAAACGATGTCATCCACATATGCGGCCACCAGCACGCGCGTGGTTGCATCCCACCACAGTGAAGGAAAACCCTCAATCGTCTTAAGTCCCATCCCCTTGACGGTGTCGGAAAAGTAATCAAACCAATCATCCCCCGCTTCAGGGTGTCCATAAAGAGGCCGAAGGAGTCTGACTGTGGGTCTCTTGTATTTTTTTAACCAAGGTAGGCCTGGAGATAAGCCTTTTTCGCGTCAGCGATGTATACAACATTAGAACTCAACATGCCATAGAAAAGCACAATCGCAATTGTCATGATTGAAGCAGGCTGACTATGAAGTTCCCGAAATTTTGCGGGTAGTCCGTCTTGGTTTCTGGTCAAATCCCCTCTGAATACCAAACGCCCTTTATGTTGACTTAGTGATGGGCCAAGCTCATCATTTTTGATACTTCCTATCTCCATTACCTCAGCCAAGTGAATCTCTTCACCGTTCCTCTTGGCCTGGCTTTTCACCTGTTCGTACTCAGTCACACTGTTGTCGTCCCAGACGCCCATTGCCCTGATGTCTTCAACCTCTTTCCTGATGGACTCAATGGCCTTTGGGTCCTGTTGGATCTCTTTCCTTGACAACACCCTGTGAACCAGTGCCTGAGCATTGTGCAAGCATTTCCCGTCCCCTAGTTGTTCCATCATTCTTTCAATCTTTAGTTGGTCAACCTTTTCATTTTCAGCCAAAACCGGGAAACTAGGAATACCCTCAAGGAATTTCTCGGGAAACAATGAGCAAAGAATTGAAATGGACATTTCACGGTTGTCAAATCCGCTCAAGAAAGCCAATTTACCCCCATCCAGCGCATCATGTGAGAACCCTTTCGGATGTCTGCGCCTATGAATGTCCATCTCAGCAGATAACCTTGCATTAGTGCTGACAATTCTCCATGGTTTCTTGGGCCGTTTCCCCTTAATTTCCAAAGAGAATGAGCATCCACATGGGAGAGAAGAGAACATGTTATGCTTGACAATCATGTCAACCAGTTCGTCGACTTCTACCCAACCGCTACAATACCTAGGCCACTCAAACGATGATGATCCCCCCGACTCCACAGCCAAATCCGTCAACTCCGAGAAGCTTGAAACCATCTTTCGAGATTGGTCCCTCCGTTCCTGGAGGCTCTGCCTGAACTCCTCATCTAAGGTTGCGGCATTCAAATTCTGCCACGATGGCCATGCAGCGTAGGGCAAAGAGCCCCACAAATGGAATGATTCCCCAAGACTGATTCGCTCTCTAGCCCATAATTTGATTTGTTCGATATCATGGGGGTTTGAAAGGTCACACACATCCCTGGAAAACCCAATGTAAGGTATGCCTCTCTCATGTGCAAGTTTGGAGCATTCACTGTTGTTAGAACACGCGAACTCAACAAACCAAACAATGTTCTTCTTTGACCTTTTGACCTTTGGCCGTGGCAAAGCATTCATGGCATTCGCCAATCTTGCTGACAAAAGCATTTCTTCCTCGCCCCCAACTTCTATGGCATCAAAGAAAATTGAAGCAACAGCTGAAGGACCTTTGTCAAGCATCTCAACCATTTCGGATGATTTTCTACCAGTTGCAACCATTGCCCCAGACATTTCTGGAACTTCTTGGACATCTTTGTCCTCGGAGATCTGAATAGCATCAGGGTCCTCAAACTCAAAATCTCCGATTTCAGAATCAATTGGGGTAGTTGCGGCGTACCCAGAACTTCCCTGATCCTCTGCTTCCTCCTCCACCCCAACCGCGCGAGGCGCAGGTTCGGGACCTCGAGAAAGTCTTGCCTCAATGTCCGACGCCCTTTCGTCAGGAATTCCTGACACAGGTCCTTTGTCCTTCACTGCAGGCTCACAAATTTCGATCAACCCGTTGAAGCGATCTCTGCACATCTTCGAATGGCTATAAGAACCCTCTTTACATCCCTGACATTTAGGGGTTGCTCCATGGATAGCAATTCTTAAAGCCGTGATTGATCGGTTCCTTTTCTTGGGAAGTGGATCAGCATCTTTGACTTTAGACCCAGATGAAGCTTTGGGAGCTACCCGTTCATCGTCACCTTCCCGTTCCAAGTCCCTTTCGCCCTGGATATCTTCCAGTTCGGGCGGCGGAACTAAGCTGTCAATCGGGCCCATTCCCCTGTCATCCCCAACCTCGCGAAGTGGAAACTGCCACTTTCCGTTTGGAAAAGCAAGAGTGCGAACAACATAGACAAAAATGGATCCCTTTTCAACATGATTCAATGGCCAAACTTTATGGTTTCCTTTGTATTTCATCCCTTTGATGAATTCAGCCCCGAGGTACACAGCGGGTGAACCCTTTGGTTCAAAACTCTTTCCCCCCGTGTCCCGAAACCAAACAAGAGCACCAAATGGGATCATGTAGCCCTCATAAGGATAACCATGGAGCGCCTCAAAACAAGTGACAGGAGGATCCAAAACAGTTCTTGACATTGTGTTGACGTTGTAGCTGAACTCAAAATATTTGACGGCCAGAGGCCACATGTCAAAACTCATCCCCGCATGAAGCATCAATGATGAACAGGACCCTTTTAGAGTTCTGATGGCTGCCTCAGCAACAGGATTCTTAATTTTCATGTTTGGTGGTGAGGATTCCCTTTTACCTATCTGAAGACACTTCAACCGTTTCGATGGCCTTAGTCCCAAAGAAGTGCCTCATGGCCTTCTCAGCTTCTTCGGAGCTCCGGTCTTCACAAGGATGGACACCGATCATCCCTGAATATTTATCTACTGAAACCAATGCTACCTTTTCACCGGTTTGACTGACTAAGTCCTGAGCGATGACAAAATCTACTGCAACTCTTTCCATGGGTCCCTTGGGGTCTTCCCTTGATCTAGCATCTTTCAACACATCCCTTTGGTTTTCACGTCTCCTATGAGGTGCTTCATACAACTTCGCCCTCAAACAAGTATCACACTGGTTACTCTTGGGTAAGTGAGTCATCAAATGATTTGGTGGCAAACCATCAACCCAAACTTCGTCTTCCTCGTCACCCTCTTCACCGCCCGCGCGTGGCGCAAATACAGCTTCTGAAGGTTCAGAGGCCTCGGAAGGTCCTTGAAGAAGTTCTTGAAGCTCTGACTCCCCCCCCGGCGTGGAAAGCGAAGGGAGGCCATATTGGAATGAACACTGAAACCGAAAGATTGGGACATGATGATCAACACGATTGGCGGGAATGCATTCACCGGTGGGGCTTTGAAGCCAGGGAGGGCGAGATGGCTCCCAATGAAAACTAAAACCCTCATTCTCAACCATATGACCAATTGACATGAACATGGGGCAATCGTTCAACATGTACACATTTTGCACACTTTGACATTCTGGCGTCCAAACCCCAATGGTAGAGGATGCAGGTTGGGTACCACCCCCCGTCGTGAATTTCAGGGGATATGAAGAGGGACCTATCCATGCATCAACTTCCGACTGATGAACGCCCTGACGACCCAAAGCTGAAAGGCTTCCTAACCATTCTCCAGCACCAGTATCCCCAACAAAATCAATGAAATGGTTGGATGGGCCCTGAAGAACTGGTGTTGCGGTCGCAGCTGCAACGGTGGTTGCAAGGAGCGCAACTAAACCTGCTTTAGCAACAGCAGGAACAGCCTTCGGTTTGGGGGATGCTTTGGGATGTGAACTGGATGCCGATGATCCATCATGCTTAAAAGGGCACTTCTCACGGACACATTTCCCCTGGGCAAAATAGATACATGGCATCTGCGCTTTCTGAGCGGCAGTTAGGTCAGATGGTTTGGATTGGGGTTTTTCGGGTTTGTCCTGAGAACTTTTGGAGGGAGAACCACCTCTTGAACCCTTTCCCTTACCATCACCCTTGCTCTTTCCCTTAGTAGCATCACCCTTTCCCTTTGGTTGGGATTTACCAGCTTTCGCTGCCATTCCCGAAGCCTCCTCTTTCTTCACCTTTGTGGGTCCCCTTTTCAAAGCTTCTTGAATAGAAAGCGCATTTTGTTCCAACTGACTTTCTTGAATACAACTTTCTATCTTATCCCACAACCATGCAAAAGACTTGACTTCGCTATCTTGGGGGGCATCACGTACCTGATCAATATGCCTGCGGATCAACGGATGTTTCTTCATGCGATCATACAACCATTTAGCCAACAATCTTGCTTCGGGAGCATCATTGGGACCAATCTGGTTCATTACATACCGCACTTTATCTCTCCATTGTCGCAAAGCTGATGCATTGTCCTGAGGTGCAGGTAAGTTGTAGAGCTCTAATGCTGTCATGATCGCCCCAGAGTTCCTGTCGGTGTCATACTCGCGGGCTACATAATTCAACATGACCCTACCCCTTACTTCACTACCCCCCAGTTCACATTCATCCAAGTACGCGTTCAAACGAACCCCAAAAGAAGACCTGAGGTGCTCTGGACGACAAAACGCCGCAGCCAAGATGCGGTCAAAACGCGGAAAGTCACCTGACGAGGACTTCAGCTCAGCCCTCTCGGCTTCCGACTTGGCCGCTAAGGCCTTTGACAACCATCCCATGACTGCACCGTCCGTTGACCTGTCATAAGCCATCACGTTGGTCCTAAGACTATTTTTCCATTGTCTATAAGCCCCAGCATCAGTGGGCAGAGACGGAATTTTGAGATGGTGAAGGTCCTTCATCCTCAAAGATCTCAGTTCAAGGTCCCTCTCTTCTTCCCCAGGACTTTATCCACTTTCAGCATCATTTTCCCCATCCCCAAAAAGATCAAACTCTTCCGGGTTTGAAGGTCCTTGGTGGTTTTTCGGACTTTGTCCTTTCGGTGAAACTATCCCTTCGGGTTGGTCCCACCATTGGTCTTGTTGCCATGTTTGAAATTGGGCATGCAAGTCCTGGAAACGGGACCTATCTTCTATTATTTCATGAAGAATTTTGTCCATGCGTTTCCCAACAAAGTCAATCTTTCTTTCGCAAGATCCAATTCGAGGTTCAAAAGAATGATGTGGTCGAATTCTCATCTGATTAAGGGATTCCTCAATATATTTGATGCGTGATTCGAACAAGACCGTAAGATTTCCCGTGCCATTAGGGTCATTCAAAAGTGCAGCCCTAAGCTGTTCAATTTCTTGGACTCTTTCATTCAACTGCATCTCCAAAACCCGTATCCTTTCAGTTGCAATTGCCAAAGCAGCATCCCTTCGTGTCAACTCTTCCCTCAAAGCTGTGATTTGAACATGTGATGCCATCCCAACCTCCATGGTCTGAGACCGAGCCTCAACAACTGCCTGGGCAGCTTGTTCCCGAACTTCTAGGGTTTCGGTCCGAGCTTCCAATACTGCATGAGCTGCAGCATCTCTGACTTCCATAGATTGGCTCTGGGCATCAAAAACCACCTGTGCTGCCATGTCCCTAGCCGTCATTACCCCTTGAGAAGCCGCTGCCACCAAAGCCGGGTCTGGCGATGGCGCGTGGATATGAACCTGTCGTTGGTCCTCATACACGAATTGCTGGAATGTCCCATGGATTTCCCCAGAATTAGGACTCCGACTTTCCTCAAAAGGGCTAGGCTCCGCGCTTGGTTGCAATGCCGCTGAAACTAAGGGACCGGACTCTCCAACCCCATTCCCATCTTGGTCCATTAGTTGGGGATATTGGTCAGCTGTCAAAAAGTTTGCCATATTCTCCTCACGTTTAACCCTACCCCTTGTTGGTGGGAGCCTCGCGCGGGGCGCGGATGGTCTCCCTAGGTCCTGTTTTGGGTTGGGTTTCTGTGTGTTCTTCCGAACTCGTGACCCCGATGAGGATGAACTACGGCTACCTCCAGCAGAAGATTCCCAACTCTTGGTTACAGGTAATCCCCCAACAGATGAATCCAAAGAAAAATCGGGGCTAGATGAAGATGTCATTCAAGTCAAACAAAACCTTTACTAAGCCCTGCAAGTGTCGAAGATCACGCAGATTCAGCGGCAGGTGGTGGAAACTCAGTAGTCCACACAGGATCGTCTACTGTTGGTACGAACCGAGCCGCCAAGACCTGGCTAACGAACTCCTCAAACGACCTGCAGTGCCGAAGGTACCGGTTCCGAGGTGGGAACTCCGACAGAAAGAAAATTTCCGATTGAAGTTTCTTGTCCCAAACCTCGTTCACCGTTTGTTGAACAGTGCTATAGCGATCGTCCACGAAGCTATGCGCCTTCACCCGACACACGATTCCAGACTTTTCGTCAGGGCTATCTGTGATCCGCAGCCCCACAGTCTTGGAACAGTTTCTGTCTAGCAGGTACTGGTTTAGCTCCTTGATCGCTTCGATGCAGCCTAATCTCTTCTTAGTGCTCCACCGACCGATGTAACTGAGAATGCCCAACTGAATTTCAGGTGCGTGAGTCAGCAGTCTCAGGACTGCCTGCTTGTTTTTCAACGTCACCTTTTGCCCAGCCTCCTCTCGTCCTTCCGATGTCTTCCGAAGGAATTGATCGCAATTGATCACTCCGTTAAAATCGGAAAGGATAAAGATTCGACTCCGGGACAGTCTAGAAAGCAGCAAAGCACGGGAACCTGATGCTGTTCCCCTTGAACTTGATGATGAAGGCCTTGGCCCATCCGCAGGTCCAGATGGCAGGGACGAACTGGGTTGCAACCGTTGTTGTGTGACTTCAGTTGTGAGATCAATCGTCAGCCCAACTGCTGCTTCACCTGCCGAACTTCGAGCCGACTCAGGCTCAACAGAGCTCTTAACTTCACCTTCCTCAACAGGATCTGGTTTGCAGGAACTTCGGGCACTTGCTGAAGGAGCTGCTACAGCCTTAGGATTACTATCCAATTGCGCACCGTAGTTTGGTGTCAAAGGGAAGTCTTCAGCTGCAACACGCTCCCCCGCTAGGGTCGCTCTTCTGCGTTCTTTCTGTGCTCTTGTCTTGTGTCCCCCCCGCTCACGGCGGGGGCGTTTCACTGGGGTTTCCCCTTCTATGGTTGCAACCTGCGGAGATCAAGATGTCGGAGTAGTTTTCAACTAGCAAACAGAGATCGAGATTCAAGAAGTTGCACTATGGCTCAACCAAGGCTCTTAACCTAGTAAACAACGAAAGGCGCACCTTTTACACCAATTACTTGAGCCAAAAATTGGCATTATTCTATGACCGGTGTCAACAGGAAAGCTATACACTTTACAATGTAGGGGTTTACCCCAAAACGTTCGAAGTATATATATGTGTGTGTGCAATACAATTACTTACTCATACATATTTTGTATGTATATAACTGTATATATATATATACATATATATGTATCCTGATTGTGGATACAGTATATTGTGTATATTGTGTTTACAGTGTATGCATATATATATATACAGAATGTATATACAGTTACAGGCAGGCTAATTAGATATGTACATATGCTCCATGTAACCCCCCAAGAAAAAGAAAAACAAGAAAAAATGGTATGTATACATAAATATACCATATGTGGACCTGAGAAATTCGCAGGGTTCAAAAGTAAATCGTTTTGGTAAGACACCCAGGGTCACCGAGCTGGACGGAATTGGTTTGACATGCGGTGTGCAGCTAGACCCTACTTCAGAACACCAAGTCCTGAAAAAGTTCTGCTCAGCAGTACACAAGAACCAATTCACAGTTGTTTCTAATATATGTATATATTATATACATATATTCCATCTAATATACCAATATTATAACCAATCAAATATATATATATATATAATATTTTATGATTTATATAATGTGTGTATATATATATATATATTATATATATACATATATATATATACATATATATATACATATATATATACATATATATATACATATATATATACATATATATATATTTCATAGCAGGAGAACCCATATGGTTTTCAACCTGACCAGGTTACCAGGTTTGGTTTTGCGCCCGCAGGGGATACGCGCCAAAAGAAAGTGGATGAGGAATGGCCCTCACAAGCTCTCACACGTCTCGCACGTTCGTTCGCTGGCGATAACGCCAGCAAGAATGCAGCAGGTTCCCTTGGTTCCCCCTTGGTTCGGTCAACCACACGTCAACATGGGGAAACCATAAATGATCGTGCAATCACTTAATGGGATATATGCATGCTGATTGGTAGTTGCTGCCCATTCAACGAAGATGCATTGGGATCATCTTCCACCAAGGAACGACATGTCTGGGTCAGATTCGAAAGAATCAAGCGAAAAGACAACACTGTCTTCAACTCAAAAAGGGTGCCTCCCGAAAGCTCTCCCGAAACTTTCACTAAATCACATAGACAGTATGTTATACTAGAGTAGCTACATGATCAGAATCCAGCTCCGTTGCAGCGTCCGGCCGGAACCTCTGGGAATGCTGAGTCATGCTCCGCTCAATCGGAGAGATCCAAATCAGGGGTCCAGGAATCGACCCTTCGTCCAAAGACAGGGAGATTTTGGGAGTACCATGACCCTATCGCAGGCAAAGCCACTCCAGGTACCGAAATTGTGGGCTTAGTTAAAGGGAATCTCCCCCAACTATCTTTTTAGTACCTCAATGAACCATTGAACAAACACCCTGGGAAAAACGGAGCGTTACCAAATGGCTATTCTTGGATGGGCCCTGACAACAAATTACCAGTTTTAGCTTGGTGGTATTCAACTTCCCCCATTTTAAGAGGCTTTAAAAAAAACGCAGAAGAACTGGCCGGAGCTTCTACTCTTTCATGCTACCTTCCATCAAGCTTGCTGCAAGAGCGTCGTTTCACTTGCAAACTGCGTGGGCTGGGAGATACAGACCAACACACACCAAACAAACGTGTCTGTACACGAATGCACATGTGAATGTGTATGTGTGTATGTACATGTGTATATATATATACAATTATATACATGTCCGTGTACCCTTAAGTGTACGCATATATTCATAGAGATGCAAAATCCCAGTATCATTGACACGAGGATCTCTCGGCAACGGCAGATCGCATGGTTGAGCAGCCAGCATTGGACCAATATGAAGGCCTGGAACAGGGAAGGCCTGGAAGGCCTCGAAGGGGGTAGCATTGGGGGCTAACCCTCTGGTAAATTAACAGTTGGACCTTGAAAATAACCAACTTTTAGTGGAAACTAATCTTCCAATCCCTATTTGGCAGGCTGCATGTTAAGAAAACCTGGATGGTAAAGCTAGGGAAGGCAATCATGTGTTACCCAGATTAATCCAAATTGTGTTTGACAGGTTTCTGTGAACCCCGGATTCATGGAGGCGGAGATTCCCAATCCTGCTTCATAACGTCCTATGATAGACCTATGGTCGGCAAATCCCAAACTTCAAGTATCATAGACCTTATTATACATGTATAAAATATATACATAGTAGGTACCTCCAGTTTATCCTGAAATTGCCAAGTATCATAGTCAGTCCCAATTTTTCTCCTGAAGTCGATTGAGCCTTCTTTGCTGGTGCGGCCGCTGGACCGGCCCTTCCGGGATTTCCCCGGGGTTGCTCTTTGGGCCCAAGCATGACCTGTCAGCACAGCTACGGGGCCCCCCAAAGATCCAACAAAAAGATGCGATTGATGATTTTCGCAAATCATAATTTCACGTCAAGTGTCCAAGTGTCACATCATTCATCATACTAAAATCATACTAAATCTTCTTAGTTCTTACATGTTCTTCTTCATGTCGACTCATAGATGATAACTTGGCCACGAAATGGGGAGGGCTATCGACGGAGGAATGGGATCAAGGGATCAAGCCCAACGGACCCTTTTTGTTTGTGATGGAAAGTCAACAAACTTGGGGTACATGGTTATCTGAACGTAGACAACATACTGGGTAAATTATAATATTTCACTCATCTGATTTTTCAGGCCATTTGGGGATGATTCCCTATATCTAAAACCATAATTCCAGGGCTCGGTCGCAGCGAGGTCGTTGTAATTTACCCAGAGACGTACGAGCCCCCAGTAGAGTACCCAAAATTCCCTGGTTCTAAATGTTCCAAGGTTTCTCACTATGGACAAAGCCACACCATGCTTTACCTACAGGAAATCAAAACACATCACTTCATCCAACATAAGGGTTGGACATCATCATATCACGTAGAATCATGCCACTTTCCATACATGTCAATTTCATGGATTCTATGGCATGACTTGGGGCCTTGCTCTGCCTTTTCGTCTTGAAGGATCTGATGACAAAACTTCTGATCCTAGCGGCCCGTCGCAGACAAATCCATGTGATGTCGGGCATGTCCAAATCCTTGGAACGTTTGACAGTGTATATAGGTACCTCTTCGTTTCTAGTGTTCTTGAAGTGGAACATTCTAGAGTGGCTGTGTCTGTTCTTAGTCACATGTTCTGTAACTGTAATTTGTTTCTCCTTGACGTTTGTCCCTTCTCTTACTGCTTTGAGAGGTTCTGCACACATGTTTGCGGAAATTCAATCTCACTTGTTCCCCCACGGACATCTATAAAACTCCCCACTGTTTGCTGGTTTTAACATGTTTTAACCCTCCCCTTTCAATATCTTTGCAAATCATCCATGATCATAAGATTCTTTTTGAGTACTTGGATGTAAGAAAGATTAACAAAGAGTATGTTCGCGAAACATTATGAAAACTCAGTTTCCTAAGTGGTGTCCTGAAATAGGGATACCCTCAGTTCTCATCAATTTTTAGAGATTTTCCATGAAATAAACGTAAATAAACCATCCAGCGGGGGTAACCCCCATGACTATGGAAAAGCCCAAGTGGAGCTCCCGTCCTCAAAGATCCCAGACTACACGATGCGGCAAGGTCCAAGGTCTTGGACGACGCCAGCGGTTTATCGCGGCTGGGGTAGCCGCTTGGGGCTATGGCGAAGCCATGGGTATCTTTGAAGAAACCCAAAAAATATGCACATGGTGTTTGTCATATATGCATACCATGGGGATATATACCCATATCATGGTGTTTGTCAACCAACTCTCCTACTCAGTTGATTATCATCTGGAGGCTCGTTAGTACCTCCAGGTGCGTGAACATTGATGGTTTATCGATGACTTAAGTAAACGTTCTGCAGACCCAACCCCAATAAATAATCAAGAGAGAGAGAGATATATATATATATATCAGTATATCAGCATCATTAAGCAGACACATCTCTTCCTAGATTATTTTGCGGGGTTAATATGTTTTAACATGTTTTAACTAGCCACTATCATGCTGTCACTTTTTGGAGGTCAGACAAAACAAAGCCAACGGCCACTTTGCATGAGGATCTCAAAAATATCATCGTAATGTCATTAATGACTGCCACGGTCTAGTGTTTGTGGTCGTCTAAAAACAGGCTCACATAGTTTACCCATTTACATGGTCATATAGGGGGACAAACCCATTCCACTGATTCCACTGTTCAATGTTGAAATCCCCATTTTGGCTGGTTAGATCCCCGTTTACGTCCGTTTGGATGAGTCGACAGAGAGAGTCGTTGAGGGGAGATATTGAGGAAGACAAAAAGACTTGCCAGGAAAAGAACTTGTTGTCGATTTGGGTCTTCATCATTCTTCATCCATGTTTGGCACGTTTGCCCATTTTAACTTGAAAAAAAGACTGAGAAGGATACGGCTGTTTTTTTCTCCCCCATGGAAAAATCCAGCCAGCCCTTAAATCTCCCAGAAACGCGGCCCTCCGTGAAGCAACCGTTGCAACCGAACTAAGACCCCGGACCTGGGAGGCGGTTCTGGATCCTCATGCAGAAACCTGAGCTAGAAAAAATCTGGGAATCTGCAGGGGCCAGGTATATACCGGCAGTCTTCTTCAAACTCCTCGAAGCTATGGAAAAATCATGGGAAAATCCGAAAATGGTCAATGGATGTTCATGGATGTTAATCATCCATGAAGTGTTTTCAATAACTAAGAAATCATCTCAGAGGATAAGATTGATCTGGACTGCATGGGTTTAAGGCTGGAATGATGGGCGCCCTCGGAGACAGCTGCAGTTGGATGGGTGAACATCAACCAGCTACTGGGGAGCGTCCTCCTTGGCAATGGCGAGTTATGACAGTCATGGTGGTTTCCCAAACCAGTCATGGTAGCGTACCCCGAAGTTTCATCCAGCGTTTTTCTTTGTGTTCGGATGTTTCATGAAATAAACCATCCAGCGAGCTTGGGATTTTGGGGATATATATATATATATATATATATATTGTACATTCATCACCATTAGTGACCATTAACATCCATTAACCATAATAGAGAAAATAACCCCCAAATCCACATAAAGAAACTCTTCATGACTATCGCGATGACAACAGCTTGAGCTGGAAGAGGAGACCATCTAGATCATCTAGTCACCGTGGTGTGACTAACGACATCTTCAAAAACCTAAGTCAACAAACTTACCCTCTGGTAAACTAACAGAACTATGGGAAATCACCATTTTTTTATTGGTAAATCAACTATAAATGACCATTTTCAATAGCAAACTGTTTGTTTACCAGAGGGTACAGTAACTTATGAATTCTCCGACCGTCCTTATTTCCGGATGCAAAAATGACATGGAGATTTATGGAGCATCAGCATCATCGGGAAAAATCATGATAATTACTGTGGAAAATCACCCATTTATAGATGGTTTACTATTTGCCTATTAACAATGGTGATTTTCTATAGGAAACTGTTAGTTTACTGGAGGGTATATTGGTTTACTGGTGCTAAACGTAGGAAATGCATAGGAATGGGGGTTGCTGGGATGATTAGTAAACTAGTGATGACTGGGATCATTCCCGAAAATTCCCTGCATTTAGCACCAGTAAGTCAGAAATGATGTCAACCGATTTTTTAGGCATTTTCCCCTCAACCGCAGTTCGCACCACTTTTGTTCCCAAAAATCAGCAACTGGATCACCATGAAGCGACTGGGTGTCCCAACTTGCAGTTCGCACCATAGCGACATCTTCCTTTCGGTTCATCGGTGGATGACCGAGGACCGAGGCGGCTGATGGTTTGAGGTCACACTTCTGCTTCTAAGTGTTGCGAAGCAGAATGAAGCCTTAAGGTTTTTCAGGATATTCACGGCCACAAACATGGGAGTACTTTCCAGATACTCATTTCCAAAACAATGCCCATCCTTAGGTACCCTTGAAAAAGGGGTGCATGAAATGATCCTCCGAATGGCCAAAACTCTGAACCCAGCCATGGCAGCAGTCCTTGGGCTTTCCAATAGCAGCAAGCCTGGGAACAGATCGGCTGGAGTCGTTGCCTTAAAGATCTCCACAGCACTAAGCACAAAAACCACAAGAAGTAGATCTGGGTATCTAAAAACCATCTCTATCACATTCCAAATCACCAGAAGACCCAAAGGCCCATTGGTTTACAGATGCTTTGCCACGAGTCGCCGAGGCTGAC